GGATACGTTTTTTATACTTTTTTGACACGCTAAATGTCTTGCATGCCGGCTCAGAATCACCACTATATTTTTTCCGTAATGTGGAACAGTTTTTTTTTAGTTAAATACCGTTCAGAAAATTTTTTTTAATTCAACAAATTTAAATAACTAGGATTCTTTCATGTGACGCTAATTTCGATGAAAAATTATGTGTGCGCTAGAAAAAAAAGCGAGAAACGATGACATCAACACAGACAACGCCCTAGCGACCAATCAAATTGATCGATACAACGCCTGTAGCCTCGTCATCGTCGTTGCCTTTCTACTGCACCTCATTTTGAACCTATTCTTGGATTAATTAATTTATGCAGAGTATTTACAACGACAGTAAACGCAGGAAAATTGAATGATTTTAGGGTAAATGTTCTGTCTCTAGTAAAATTATATATTTTTTCCCATTGGAACCTCTAAAAAGAAAGAAAATTATGATTGAATTTCATGGCATCTAAATTTTTATTAAATAGCATTTAACCTAAAAAACGCTAAGAACTGACACACACAGCCACAGCCATCGCTAGCGGTCAAACTTCTCATCGCATTTTTGCAGATAAAATTCTAAATTTCTTGTAAAAGAACGCTGAAAATGAGCTGTCGAACACCGGAGTTGTCGACCACCGCGTGCAGTGACCGGCCCGGCATGACAAAGCGGTGCGAGCGGGAACCGGAGACGGCAGCTTTGAACGGCTGGTAGTGGACACTTAATAATAACGATGTTATTTCTTATACAAGCAGAAAATGGCTGATCTTGGACACACCATACTAATGGTGTTATTTCTTTCACAAGCAGAAAATAAACACTCAGGTTGCAATTAACCCCTAATTTTTTAAGACGTACAATCTTGTTGTAGAGGCATCGATGGTAAAATCACAATCATATACATACATGCAATACTCGTTCCTGGATTAATATCGAATCATGGCGTCATCTGCTGCAGGAAATTTATCATTTAATATTTGGACTCGATGATGAAATACACAACACTCATTCGTCATCATTATTGTTATATTGACTAATAACCACCAGAAAGAAGATTGCTTGATAATGGCAAGCACGCACTGAACTTACCACTTACCTCACCGCAGCAATACGTTCAATAACAATTGAGACCCCTATCCACATAAGTGGAGGGGAGGGGGGGGGAGGTTACACAAAAACGGGGCAAGCAAGTAAGCTAAGTTGTTCATTAGATTTATGCACCAAGAGCATGATACAAGAGAAAGCTTTCATATTGGAAATTTGTCCACTAATAAAGAAACACGTCGTAGTTTGTTGCCTCGACAGAGATTGATCCCATTTTACAATAATTTTTTCGATGGACTGGCACAATTTGAAAATGTTTAAAAAATGAATGATTCTTTCATTAAAACGTTGATTCTTCCTTCATTCTTGTTATAAGAAAGTGCCATTTCTTATTATTTTGCGCCAAAAAATAAGTAAAAATATCTACATTTCAGCAAAGAAAACGCCTACAAAGGCAACAAGATATAGGACGAATCTCATTAACATAACAATAGTGAAAACAAAAGGTATCAAACCTACTCTCATAACGCACAGAGTTCGCAAAAACAGTCGATGCAAAGCAAAACACGTGGCCTAGTATGCCGAGTCTTTGTAAGCAGTTGGCGTATTTAGAAGAACAGGAACTGGAGCAAGAGCTCGTTGTGTCCATCGAGTATCTCAATCGCCTCTCACGGCCGACATCAGGATCACAATATCATCAGTAATAACGAGTTTGGTTCCTAGTGATGGTCCCTTCATATAGCCAGCGCCTCGATAACGAGACGACAATCACGCTCTTAATTATCATGATATAATGAGTCGTTGCATTGGAAAAATAAAAAGGAAACACATTTGGATTATTTGGCGGTCCAGATGACTAAGTCAATACCAGAATAAATTCCATGGCATCAGCATTACAGATATAAATACAAGGTAAATTATTTTGATCGTGCCTCGAAACCAAATTTTACAATTTAACCTGCGGTAAAGATCTTCAAAAGAAACCTAAACCTAAGTCTCGCATTTTACGTCTAGCAAGCAAGTATACTGAAGCTGAGTTGCTTCAAACTAAATGTACCTTCGATTGAGAACTCTTATTCAGAACGCTTATTCGTCTGTCAATAATTTTTCTTCAATTTACAGTCCCTCAAGGAATCAAACCCACGTAAAGGAAACTAGCCTTCACACATCAGCCTGACTACTAATATACGCTGTACAACATATATACCTATACAGCATATGCGCTATAGCTATAGAACGTACCTTGGACAGCCTAGCTAATGTCCTATATTAAACAGCAACGAGTCACGCGGTGAAAGCCTTGTGAACTCACTGCCTTAGGCTAAGACTTTTCCATTAACCACAAGCACGCATTTATTCGGGGTGTTTGAACTCACTTCTTCCAATTTAAAATTAGCTGTTCCTTTAGCTGTTGTTTCACCATATGCACCAAAATTTTTTTTTATTTTTTTTTCCAACCTGCAATCTTGTTTTAGTTTCAAGAAATTGCAGGAATTTCGCATACGTTGAATATGTATATTGTATAGGTACTTAATGACCTTCTATTGCAAAATGCTATGATGGTCTCTCGATTTCTTGTAAGTTAACCTATTAGAATTTTTCGAAATCTTAATTGTAGTCGAACAAAACGAAAAACTGGATTGAAAGAAACAAACGCCACGGAAGCATTGCAGTGATTGTTGAAGATCGTGCTAAGCATTGTGCTCTAATTTAAAACAGCTTCATCAATTCCGAGGAACAAAATGCCATCTCTCGATTTAGAATATAAGTAGTGTGGGGTTTTCGAGTGACTTGTAGTCGGAAGCTTTAATTGTGCAGCCATCACTCTGCTTGACAGGTTCTTTTTACCACACAGGAAATTACTCAAAAGAGCTGCTGTAATTAAACTCAGAGTGTAGTCCAGTTTTCAACGTAGCATTTTCTGCAGTATTGGGTGTTTTTTTAATAAATGATTCACGAAAAAAAACGATTAAATATTTAAATTTTTTGTCTCTTTTATTACAAAAAAATGGAAAAGCCATCCCAATAAATTGAAAAAGCATACTAATTTCCATCGAATTTTAACGTCGAAATTAGTTGCAAGGTACACGGGAGGAAGCGCATCGGTTCTGTTATAATTAACCATAAGTACAACGGAAGCTAATTTTAGAATTAGACATAGACGAGCACTTAAAACTTATAACCATTAGACTATAAATTTTATCATTTTATGAATATTTTAATAACTGACTTGTTTTAAGTACCTGGTTGACAATGCTTATAACAATAGGTAGTAAACTGAACAAAGTTTCTACGATTGAACTAGATTATATACAGAAAACGTTTAATGAGGCTGCAAGACGCGGCTATATTAAGTGCCTTAGAGCAGCGTTCTATATTTCTAAACGCATCGTAAGTTCTGGAGCAAACTTGGCAGCGCCATGTCATCTGTTCAGAACCTGGCGATGTGCAGGGTAGAGGGACGACCTGCACACGCGTGAGTTCTGGAGCAGACTTGGCAGCGCCATGTCATCTGTTCAGAACCTGGCGATGTGCAGGCTAGAGGAACGACCTGCACGCAGCTGACGACAGAGGGAGCGGCGTTCAGCCAGCGCCGCCTGACCAGGATATGGCGCTGATCACCACCAAGAGACGCAACGTTTAATAATCATTAAACGTTTTTTTCTTTATAATTAAGACGCCTCTTTGCATATTATGATTCAACATTACGTCGTTAGATACTCGAATCTCATGGCGCCGATATCCTTCCTCGCAGAAAAGGAAAAATTCAAATGAAAGTGTTGGCAACAACGATGACATTCTGCAGGAGAGTTCCACTACCGTAATGGAAATTTCATAAGAAATATTTGTAATTATTTGTGTTTGCACACTCAAAATTATATTCTTTACCTTACAGTACTCCTAGATGAATTAACTCAAACGTCTCAGTACTTTCTAGTTCATGCATTCCATAGGAAAATTACTGAATATAAAAAAAAACATGCATATCAATGAGAAATATCAATGTTAAAAATTAAATAATTTTCTAAACATTTTGCCATAGGGTGAGAGAAGTTTGATGCTGAGTACAAGCCTTGTACGGAGTCAGGCACAGGCGTCTCATTGAGTGATCGCTGTTCAACGAGACGCAATTGCCGGCCTATATATATAGTCCTTCAGGCATCAGCTCCGCAAGACCGTAACTGAATGGTTCACTGAGCTGCCAAACCGTGTTATATGACTTATATCCTCAACAAACATCGGGCACTATAACAGTAGAAGCAGCCAATGGTTTATAAATGTTCATCATATTTATTTTGAGTACTATAAGTACCCACGGTTACTAAAGTCTAAAAGCGTGGTAACGAAACTGAACTTCAAGTGTCAAAGTCACTTCTTCGATCTTTTCGACTTGAGATCGTAAATAGAATGTTGCAGATTCGCCAGTGAGAACAAATTCCGGTATTCTACATCAAGAGACAAGTACGCGTGACGTGAGACAAAATACTTAGATGCCCATTATAAATTGTCAAATTAATACTATACCATGCGTACATAACTGGTTTTGACATTTCATTGCTTAGATGCTGTCAGAGCTTGAAAGCCAAGGCGAATTGCTTCGCGCCACCCACAACACACCAATCCCGCACCACGTACTGATCATAAGCAAAAACCAATTCAATTGCAATGGCCAGCATACGTACGTAAGTTACAAACCACCTGCAAACTTTCGTTAATAGTTTCGCTATGTGTATAGAGTAGGAAAATAAAGTATAAAATTGCGTAGAATCACGAAAAATAGAAAATAATTCAAATCAAGTACAAGCATCTGTCACTAACATCTTATGACATCATTGAATTAAATGTGATGCGGACTACGACCGGAAAGACACACAACGTCCAAGAGATTTAAAATTAAAATGAGTCCAGTAAAAGGTAGAATGGAAGTTATGGAACTCACCTGTGTGCACAACTCGAGGTCTGTTTCGTATCACGTATAATTTTTATGACAATCGAACACAGAACCTGAAAAATAGAACGTTATATGAACAAATAAGCGCGATTACCAACCAGAACGCTTAAGTGAACTTGGAACAAAAGTTTTGAACAGAAGTTATCCGAAAATAAAATTGCAGCAACAAAACCCACATCGGTCTATTTAGAAAAGACACTCATAAGAAAGTTGACTCAAATATTCTTCAACGAATAAAACTGAAATGAAAAACACGGGATGTGAAGAAACGTGATAAAATCTTGAGAGAATCAGCCTTCTGCTGAGTGCTGACGGGTTGCACTCGACCGTGGAGGCTACACATAAGTAAACCACAAAAAAATACTAAACGAAACTCATAAACAAACTCAAAATTATGCGAATGAAACACAGCTGTAAATTATTGACATAAATTTGTTACGTGAGAGATTCAAGCTATTAATTCTCATTGGGTTAAGAAGTTCTATGGTATGCAGAATTCAAGGTTTCTCGGAAGCACGACAGTGACGGCCTCCGCGACAACTCACGCACAACCACTACTCATGAAAGCTGGCAATGCACTGAGTTGGCGAGATCCAACTTCCAACGTCGGGGGTTTTGTGAGCGCAACGAACAAGTTTTTATTGAGTTTCAAACCAGTGACTTTTCCCTACCTTCACACTGAACTAATAATGAGCGGTAAGCAGGCTACGTTCACTAACAGCTCTCATTATAGACTGAACTGTTATTTAGATGTTCTTTTACAATTTATGATGCGCATTTTATGACGCATCATAATTAATATTAGTATGTAAGTGTGATAAATTGAAAGTTGGAAAACGCCCGCAGGGTCAAGGTCGTAGCGCCACGATACGTAGTCGTTCGTTGCCATGCAAAGAAGGGCGCAATGGTCTAAAAATCTCGTTATGATTCACTCGCCATCATATTCAAAACTCTGGTCAATAATACCATGAATTCACGATCATGGTTTTAGAGAACTCATTGACATTTCATGAACATTTTAAATAACTGAAGACTAGTGGTTAAATCGGCTAAATCTGGCGTTGCTCCTGACCGATAATCCTCAACATTTAATTACCCAGTCCTCAAAAATCCCTTTCCCATAATCCGTTTCCCTTATCCAGTTTTTCCTAATCCCGTCTCGCATAATCCTTTTTTTTTCAATTCAACTGACAAAATGGTTATTGACAAGAGACATTTGCAAACTTGTCATCAGCATGTATAAAATTTCAGTTTTAATATTTGGATATGGGAAAACTTTAATGCATTTTTATTAACAAATTTCACAGGAAACCATAAAAAAATCACATTTCAGTTTTGTGCTCCAATCTCCATATACCTCGATTTTTTATGTCTGATGATTCCACCTGTGATAATATAACGTCAGATTTATATAATATCCCGATATCAAAGGCATGGTGGCTACGCACTTTAATATTCCCTATACCTTATTACCTTATAATGAGTTTACGACTTCTTAGTCCCCGGTCACGCTGATGCGCCGCCTTCGTCGTCCTCTGTCTCCGAGTCGTCGCTAGGGCAGGTCACCCCGCTCTCGGGTCCCGGATGTAACGTTGGACGTGTTCCGTCTATTTGCCCTCCTTTGGGCCAGCTGTTGCAAGATGCTGTTGTTTGTCACTTGCTGAGGGTATATAGTTTCCCATTACTGGACAATCCGGGATCTTTCTCAACCACTTGACCAGTCGTCTCTTGAATGTTGCAAGGGTAAACTCCCCTCCTCTCAGCGCTTTGGCAAGGCATTAAACAGCCTCGGTCCTACCACGGACAGTGATCCCTCACGAAGAGTCTGTACTCTGGCCGCGGCACGGTTATTAAATGGAGGAAACCTGCAAAGTCTCCTCCTCCTTTAGTTGTGATATGTCACTATTCTGGAGAGCTCACTGTAATAACTTCAAAATTATTATCCTGTCCTTTTGAGTTTACTCTTTAGGGACTTGATTTAAGCCTAAAACTCAAAGGCTAATTTAATAATTAGAATATTAGGTATTCAAATTTCACTTTCAAATTAACGTTTGTTGAACATTGCTCTTTGATTAAATAAGGGGCTGAACAGGAATTACTCTCAGTGAGAATACTTCAATGTTAGAATTAATGTGAGAGCTGGTAATGCTATTTTTTTAAACAGCTGAGATTATCTATACTAAGCAGTGCATGGGATTGCCTGCTATTTGTTCATATACTGTTTGTCTCCCTATACATTAACTATCGTTGTTAATTGTCAAGGAAGCAGGTTCTATTTAGTTATCTGGGGTGGTATGCAGGATTACAATGCAAAATTAATTTATGCTATTTATTTATGATCAGTTACTCAACAAAACAATATAGACGAAGACAACAAATTCATAAAAATAATAACTAAGACACGGAACAAAATTAAGATGTGAACTTGTGGGAATGGAGGTGCAGCCGTTATAGGCTTGACCTGTTAAAAAGAAATACGTTTAACACATACTACGGCTTTTCAAGCATGGCAGCAAGCAATGATCAGTTCCATATAACTAACGGAAAAAATTTTTTTATACCTCATTTAAAAAAAATTGTACCTCATTTCAAAATATTATGCCTCATTTCCGTGACGGATCAGTTCCATATAAAGGAAATGAGGTATAATAAACAAACGGGAGGATCTTAATCATCCAATCCTAATTATTCTAGTGTTTTATTGGTGTTATATGGCTCACCGGTTAAGCCTGGGCGAACAGGATCTGAATCCGTTACCAAAATACTCTCCTGCAGAAATAAACTACTGCAGGGAAAGTATAAGTCTCTTGAAAGTATAACAGGGAAAGTATAAACTCACTTGAGTTCATGTAGCTGCCGATTTCTCTGCTGTGATTGGTGGGTTTAGGTTGACGGAGTATATTTTTATTGTAAGGCACCTGCTAATATGACTTACCGTTTATTGCCAATGCGGCTGAAAAAACACGCGATGTTAAGTAAATAAAAGAGTACTTTTACTGAAGAATTTTCTCCATTAAAGAACTATTTGTGTTTGTTAAGTCTCTATCAATAAGGAAGTAAACTTTTATTGAGTGATTTCTTTTCTAATGATATTCATACCTGTAGATTATAAAAAATTACATCCTAGCAATATGAAAATATCAATGATGGATCAACGATGTCGTCATACGTTGTCATAATAGACAAGGATTTGTAATCGCATGGATAGAAATGTGATTCTAATTAATAATAATCGAATTTACAGTTGTATGAGATCGATGGCCCACGTCTAAACTGAAGATGTGATATATCAAAAAACCTCATGACTGATCTTAATTTGCGTTTATCAGCCATGCATTTCATAGTCGTATATTCAAAGAGTTCAGTCAGTAAATCTTCCTGAAGCGAAAAATTTCTCTAGTTAAAGAGAAACCCATTCATTAAGAAATAATGATATCATTACGTCATTCTATCTATATCATTAACATCCTGAGACACTAAGATACGTTTTGCGAAGAAAAACAGGAATAACAGTTTACACATTTGGTATGGTTTAAGTTCTCTATTTTACTTGTATTTCTTTTTTCTTCACCAATCAGCAGGAATCATTTCGTGTCATTCTTCTCTCTCTGCCCCCTATTAATCTCCACAATGTTAATCACAGCCGCAGTTACATCCTCTGACCAACCCACAATCACAGTAATCCACCCTTCACCTGTTCTCTCACGCCACTTGTAATTACAACCCCCCAGCTCATTCAGAATCACTAACATCAAAAATTGTTTTCTTTCTCATGCGCCTCATATTCAACCATCACGTACTCAATTATTTGATTCACTCCTCCATTACGCACCAAAACTCATCCTCACATTCCACCCTTACGCACAAAATTTCACTCAATGACCATGCTTTCCCATGCATCTAAGCAACAGGTCCGATTTCTTCTAAAATCTTACATTCATTCATATTTCGGCTCTGCTACCGCAACATGGGTTAGGCAGTATTGACAGTAATATACTCGTCTCGTAAGTAGGGGCAGAAGTACGGAAACAAGTTTAACATGCAGAAATGCTGCATTAATGCATTTTTGCCGGGAAGTTTATTCGCCTTCAGTCTAAACAACAAAAGGAACTGCAATTGATATTCATATTAATTAATTTCTATCTAAATCCTTATCCTTTTTTAATTCTATTAAAATAAAACATTTTTGCAAAAATATCATGTGTAACCAATAATTATTTAAAATATATTATTGTGCACAAAACTAGTCCACGGCAAAAAAAAAACTCACAGAACAATTAAAGCCAACGAGATTCTCATTTTTATAGAAAATACACCATTTAAAAACAACCTTTCCTGCCTCCATACCGTCTATAGAGAGAGGGTTTAATTAGAACCTCATCATTTACCCTTCTAGCAATTACGGAACACGAGGTATGTTTGCAGATATTTTCAACTGCGAACGATAAAATATTTTTCAAATAAATATGTCATACAATATATAAGCAACCTTGCAAAACAAAAATGATAGAACCCCTAAAAAACACAAGAAAATATATTTAACTTTAATTACATTTAATATCGAAACCAAGGGAATGGAAATGTAAAACGAGTGAGCATATTAATTTAACCACTTACTTTTTTCACTCAATGATTGAATTCAGGAATTTACAGATGGATTTTTATCAACCAATACAATAGACACCAAACTAAATTTTTCACTGAAGGGATCAATTCTCGGTTGAACGGCCGTCAAAAGCCGTGAAATTTCTTTCGCGGTTCTGATGCACGATGGCGAACTTTGTGATGTAATTAGATGCTCAATTTTCGGCATGATTGGGGATGATAAGCTTGATGTTCGCGAGCCGTGATGCAATTGCAAAAGCTTACGCCCGCCCTGCCACTCACTCGCTCAATTTAAGAGAGAAACATTTACAAAACTGATAAAACATAGCAAGCCTTTCTACGGTCCAAAATATACAAATCTAACAAACATAGCAAACCTTTTCACGGTCCATAATATACAAAACTAACAAACATAGCAAACCTTTTTTATTACCCGAAATACACAAAACTAACAAACATAGCAAACATTTTTACGGTCCAAAATATGCAAAACTAGCAAACATAGCAAACTTTTTACGGCCCGAAATACACAAAACTAACAAACATAGCAAACTTTTTACGGTCCGAAATATGCAAAACTAACGAACATTGCAAATTTTTTACGGTGCAAAATAAACAAAACTA